CAACTTCAGCCAGACCAATGCCATACGCGTTGTGGAAACGGAAATATAACTTCCGCAATGAGTCCAAGTCACTAGGAAGTCCCTCCGAAGCTAACATTAATTTGATGCTGGTGTTAGTGTGCCCATCAAAACACACGGTGGATGGTTGGTCATGGAGATAAGCCAGGAATAGCCTAAGAGCTTTAAGAATGGCAGGATCTCTTAGTCTAGCCAATAAATATCGACTATCAGCTGTATCAGAAGCTCGCGATAATCGCACAATGGGTGGAGTCATCGGGTCCATGATTGATTCATCTTTTTTTCTACTTGTATCCATAACAATTTTTGTGCTGTCTAGTGCCAGGGACTTAGAAACAGCTATAGCCTCCCTGTCAGAACCAATCCTGATAGTTTTATCATCCTTAGTCGGGTTAATCGGGGTTGAGTCAGAGTTTAGTGGTCTACTTCGGCCCTCGGCAGTGTTGGGTTTGTTAAAATTAAATTTCGAAAAACGTTTTCAAATTCCTAGGAACAAAATGCACCAAATGGCTATCTTGATTTTTTCAAAAAATAGTATATTGTGTATTTAGGTGGAAAAGTGACACATTCTCGGCCGACGGTGTAAGTTGATGGGCGAGGCTTAGCCGAGGTCGGCAAACACCGAAGGCCAAGAATGTGCTTTTCCACCGAAATACACATACTATATTTTCTGCGATCGGTTAAATACCTGTTAAATGTTTGTCTTTCAGTTCCAATTATTCAGCAATACGAGAATCACTTTCCCGGCCTAGGCCGGAAAAGTGTTTCCCGTATTGTTATTCATTGATTCCTTAGCAACTATTGAAACATAATTGAAATACCAGAATATTGAGTTTTGCGACCTGTCAACCGGTCAAAAATGCTGACATTTCTTGTCAATCGCAGAAAAAAAAAATTTTGCGAAAAGGTAGGGGTGTTCACTTTATACTGGATCACCCTGTACACGGCGCATACATAGTTGCAACATTTAATTTTATTCAGTAACCGATTTTTAAAAGTTGAAATTTGAAGAAATAATATTTTAAATAGGTGGTTTTCCTCATTATTTTCAAGAGATCACTCAATTATTCCAACTACTTCATACAGTGCACTTTCAACTGACCTTGTCTATAGTCTTTTGGGGTTGAGATGCCTGATTTACCCGCTTTGGGTATAAAGAAAACTTTCACTTCCCTACATCTTGTTGGTGTATACCCTAGTGTTAAGCAATCAGCAAATATTTTTAGCATTGGTTCTAGAATGCTTTCTAGGGATTTTGTAGCATAACTGGCATTACCCCATCTAGTCCTGAGGAATTGTAGGGTAGAAGGTTTTCACTTATTCCACCTTTTCCCTCGCAATTATTGTTTTTATCACTTCTGCGTCGCCTTTTGAGATTAATTCCAATTGCTCTATATTAACCTGGAAAGTGTGTCTCCATTAGAAGCTCGAGGATTTCTTTGCTGGATTCTGTCCATGTATCGTCAGGCCTTTTCCAAAGACAGTCGAGTAGTGTTATCTTAAGTCGAAAAACATTTTTTTTTTAGAATGGATACACGGTCGCGTACAAAAACTTCCCATCTAAAAACATTACTTCAGTATATTTTGAACACAAACTTGCGCAGTTTTGTAAAAGGTTTTTGAAAGATAAGAAGATTCTGTCTGTAGATTTATTTATTTATTTAGGTTTACTTAGTACGAGAGGTCAACAGCTGTGGATTTTTGGTGTACACCCGTGTAGATTTTCAAGGATTTTTATAATTATTGTTGATGTCTATAGATTTCCATAGATATCCGTGGATCTCACTGGATTTCTGTAGATATCAATAGATATTTGTGGATTTCAGTAGATTTGTGCTATTAAAATCTGCCCTTTATTGTCTCGTTTTTGGAACTGATAATAGGTTTAGTTCCAACGATATCAAAAAAACAGTACAAGGTATACTTTGAATGGTATCAGGCGACAGGCAGGATACGATAGCAATAATTTTTCCGACTTCTACTATGTAAAGGATACTACATATCGCAACAAAACTACGCACAAAATTTCTTAATTCTGAAATGGTTTTAACAATGGGATCCTATACTGCAGAACCTGCGCATATGGACCAGCTAATCTCAAATTTTTCAAATGACAAACGTATCTTAATAGCCTTGTATTTAAAAGGCGAAGATAAGATGTGGTTTAAGTCTGCGGAAAAGATGTGTTCTGGATCAGTCATCCAGTTGCTTGATAGTATTTCAGGACGTGAAGATGATAAGGCAATCTCACTTGGACTCTGCGTTAGATCTACAAGACCGGCTTCACCAAATGTGGTTTTGTGTATTTTTTTTGCGTATTGAGCGCAGACGGCTAGCTGATCAGCCGTGCCTCAAGATCGGTGACAACTTTATCATCTCAAATTGTTATCTATGTATTGAGTTGAATGTTCATGCTCTCATCAAAATTTCCACCAATTTCCGTGAAAATCCAGATTTGACAAGTGATATGTTCCTTCTTGACCTTTTTAGTGGTCAGACGTGCGAAATGACATTCAGAATAACAAGGTTTATGACTACGACATATTCAACTATGATTAACTTCAAAGCCGACTTCAAACATCTATTAGATGACTTCAAGCAGGCCGGTTTGGAAAAAGCGTTACAAGATACAGCTCGCTGAAACTCTGGGAATACAAGTTCTAAGAAGATAGTTGAAATGATGTTGCCATTGCACTATCAACCACCCCAGAGTCAACTTCTAAAGAAAATGATATTGACTAAGAGTCAGTTGATGATAGAAGATCACAACTGTGAGATTTTAGATACGTTATCACCATACCAGGACATCTCTGACACTCCTCCGGAGAATTTCTCATTAAGGCGGATGCCAAAAGAAAGAGATACCGTTTTTAAAAAAGGTCCGTTAGTATGAGTAAAAATATTCGACGGTAAGTCGACTGTCATTAAAAAATCTTCATTGTGTTGGCTATTAGAAGAGGCAATGTAAAGAGGCTGCGAAGATTTTTCTCGACAAATTCAGAAACGCTAATGATTTTATTAAGCCCAAAAAGATTCTACCAAATAGAAAAAGATTACAAAGAAACAGTCGCTCATCTGTTCGTAGCAGGAAGACAAACAATAAATCAACTCCAAACTCCGAAACTTCAGACAATGACTAAATGAGTGTGAAATACGATGATAGCACAGGCACTGAATCTTTTTCTGCTGAAACCACTAGTAATAAAGTGAGACAAATAATAATCTATTGGAATGTCTCTCATCAAATCTTCCTGCAACCAATATGACATCTTCGACTATTGAACCCGAAGTTGATACCTTCAATAATGCTGTTCAGCCTGAATGTTGGAAATTTTATGCCATATATTATGAGCAACAGTAGTATTTAGGCTAACAGGTCAATTCTGTGCACATCTATAAGCAAATCTATAACTTTCTATAAACCTATATAGACAATTCGCAATTCTGCTTATACCTTGATTCATTATTAGTGAATTAGAAATTAGACGTTTATAGAAGGTATCTCAGAATTGCAGTTCGTAAGCTATAGATTTACGGATTTGAAGATATTTTACGAGAGAACCCAGAATTGCACTGTTAATTACAAAAATTGTCGATAAAGAATACGTAGTGAAGTTTTTGAGAAAAAAAAAGAAAAGTGAAAAAGAATTTTTGATGTGGCCTAAACCAGATGATATTTCTAAAGTGTCATCTTAGTTAATTTTCATGGATCTATAGATGTTAATGAGAAAAGGTCTGAAGTACCGTTGCAACTGAGTGATCTACAGTTAAAAGATATTAATGAAAGATACAAACTAATGCAATCTACATTTAAAAAATCAATTCTAAAAAATATCTTCATAATCTCAAAATATGATAGAAAATCATAGGTAAACTATATTCTTTAGCTTCCCAACATTAGTGTCTGAGTCTTAATATACAATTTGTGTTATCAGTTTTAATCTTCGGCAGGTTTTTAATTGTCAACTGACTCTGGATTTCTGTGGTTATTCATAGATTTCCACAGATTTCTTTGGATTTTCACAGAAGACATTGGATTCCTGCGGAATTTTGTAATTCTCTACGGATTTTTGTGGACTTCTTCGAATTTTTTGTGGATTTCGTGAATTTATCTAAAAATAATGGATTTCTGGTGTATCTAAACATTTTGATCAGCTGTTTACCTCTCGACTTAGTATATTCCGTATGCCTTTTCAAACTTATTTTCTCTACGCAAAATACTTTTATAAAATTAGTCCTAAATCACTTCTGGCAGCTAGACAAAATTCATATGCGTACTCGCAAGTCTCCCTATCCAAATTAATTATAATCGCCGTTAATTCATAATAATTAATTACGTTAAAAACTGTGTGACATTTCAGGCTTCCAAGCTAGTAAATCCCATGAAATAGATGCGATTCAAGTAGGTGGAGTTAAAAGCACGCTTAAATCTTTTTCCTGACAACGCTGAGAAGCTCTTTTGACTTCTAGGAAAGGCGACAACGAAAATGCATTTAAACTTGTTGGCAAAGAACGAATTGCACATAGAGAATTGCTTAAAAGAGTCTGTTTCGAAATAATTTCATTTCTGGTTCTTTATCCACTATAATTTGATACCTTCCTCGAACTATTTTTCTATGAGGTTTACATTTTTATACATTTTCGAAAACGACTTGGTGGAGGAAACTCCTTAAGAAGTACAGAAATTATTAAAGAATTCTAATATAAAAGTCATCCAAAAAATATCTATCAAAAGCTAAGAATCATCGGTTCATGATGCTTGAAAATCTCAAAAAACACTTTTTTCAAAGGTGCAAATTCTCTACGATAAGTATTAAAGGATTTTTAATTTCTCACACATTTTAAGACCCTCTTTCCCTTATTCCGTTCCCTTTCCAGTTATTCCCATCCAAACAAGCGAAAGCACTTAAGTCAAAATCGGCTCCTCCCATAAGTCTGGTTTAAAGCCAACCCAAAATCCGAAATAGACAAGGATAGAAACGGGATAACATGCATGTGGGTCTCACAGTAACAGTCTCGCTTCTTTTAATTGAAAAATTGCAGTTCAGTTGATGTTTCCGTGCTTCAAGAAATACTAATGTATTTGTGGCTAATTAAATGATGAATAATAATTATTTTCAAAATTTTTATCATCAATATAAGCCGGTATGCGAATTGAGGCAAAAAACTAACAGTAGTGATGTTTTTGGTTTTCAAGGTGCAAACTATGTTAGGTTTAAGGGACATAGTGATAAGAAATGTGTCGGTGATAGTGATAATAGGGTACTGAAAAGGGAATCGGTTAGTGATGAGGATCAGAAAAATTCAGGGTAAGAAACACTAACATTGATTTTTACTATAGATAATTTTTTTGTAAAACTTATGTTGATTCTCCACTAGGAGATCAGGAATTTGTAGTCACTTATCTTGGGTTTTTGGGATATTTATTTCCCGAGCAATTTTTTTTTTAAACTTTTTTCCAAAACAGTATGTTGAGACCCTTTTATTGTTATTTTCTATTATTTTCTGATAATTATGTTTTTCTTGGACGCTGTTTATTATTAATGTTCCTTACATTTTCAAACTTTATACTTTCATTTTCAAAGTTTATACAAAAGCACTGTTTTCTTTTCCCAAAGCCTGCATTTTCTTTACTTATAAATTATCTTCTGCTATGTTTATTTTATCAGCAAATTTATTCAGTCCTTAATTGATTAGTGTTTCTTTTTATTGGGTACTTATTTTTTTTTTGTCATTTTTCCTAAACTCTTTGATAGGAATTCATTAACAACCCCTTTTTCATTTAGAATGTAACAAGCCCATAATCATGTCAAATTTCCAAAAGAAAACAACGAAAATTTTCACTTGGTGATTCTAAAAGCTATTAAACCAGAGAAAGAAAATAAATATAGATAATAACCACAGCTTTTAAATTAATCTAGATAATTTTCTATCGATAAATACTTATAAAAATTCGATGCATAACTTCTATTTTCCATTTTAAATGTACATCAGATCCAGGAACAAGTTAAAAAAGAATCTTTTGAAAATATGCACTCGCTTGAATATTTTCATAGAATCCTGAAACTTGACTACTTTTTTAAGCTTTTTTCCTTTGCTTTTGCAATCTCTTGATGTCCTTTCAACTGAAAACTACATTTCCAAATTTTTCTGAAAAAACATACAGAACCTGGAAATGCATATAAAAATGTTTTCAAGTTGTCATGACAAAAGATTGGAACATTCCTCAATGACGTTATTCCTGTGAAGTATGGAATGATTTTAATTTAATGAACTTTAGTTTGAGTTTTAATAAGATTTATTCTAGATTAAAGTAGGCTATTGTTTGGGAGCCGGAGACCTTAACTCCTTGACAGGGCAAAAGAAAAAATTAGAATAAAAAAAAATAATACTGTAAACAAAAAAAGTAATCGAGTCAAATTATCTACAAATACTCAAATAAATAAAGTGCAGCTTTTGCTCTCAGTACAAGGTGCAATGTATCCGATTAAACTATCGGGTTGGATCAAAACAGAATTGAACTAAATAAAATCGAAGAAAAAACGACATTTAGTCGCTAAATGGTTCTAAGATAGCATTCATTCTCTCCATTCTTCCTCGTCTATCGCTCTATCATTTAGTTTTTTTTAAATGTTATCTATCCATGTTAGCGCCGATCTTCCTTTCTTTCTTCTGTTCCATATGGAACGTACCATCGTTACCAAAAGTAACTCGGACAAAAATAATTCATATTAATCTCCTGGACTATTCCAAGTTAACCTAGGTAAACCTATCGTTGAACCAAATCCAAGCGGCAGTAATGACATAACTGGTAATTTTCATTACAACCTATCAAATGTCCTCCGTGCATGCGCACTGGTCCTGGTAGGGCGTTTCAACCAATAGGAAGGCTACATTACCAGCTGAGGTAGTTTACAATTTAGGTTAATTATTGTACCTATTAATTAACTGCCGCTAGGATTTGGAAATGGTATAAAATTATTCATAGTCTGACAAATGCCTGATATCTTAAATCATATAATAGTACAAAAGCTAATATGATGCTGTCCCAGTTACGTTTGGTGACGATGGTACATCAATGCTTTCTTTGACCATCTCTCCTCCTCCATTCTCATAACATGCCCATACCATATATGAGCTGTCGAGTGTCTATTCTTTCGTTCTGTATGTGCTCCAGTCATCAAACTTTACATGTACGTCTGAAAAAGTCTGTTTTCACTGGATCTACCTGCCTTTTATTTCGTTCCGGTACCTGCCAGCATTCAGCTGTACCTACATCAATATCGGGTCTACAATTTCTCCGTAGGTTTTCTTTTTTGTCTTTATAGAAATCTGACTACTCCAGAGTGAAAATCATAAGCTTCAGGTCGACAGCAGAGAGAAGGAAGAACATATCAACAGATTGAAACGTAGTACAGTGGACTTTGAAGAGAGTGTTTTTGCGAGTGAGCAAGAATACATCGACCACCTCAAGCAACAAAATGAAAGGATCAGTGAATTGAACAAGCTAATTGTCAATCTACGTAAACTGAACTCCGTTTTACAAGATGATTTTAAGAGTAAAACTCGCAAGGGACCCACAAATGACGATTATCAGAAAGATAAAGAATGTTTAATAGAACAGAAGGAGAAAAGGGAGAGAATCTGTGTAACAAACAAACACATTTTCGAACTTGACAAATAAAAACTCCCTGCTCGAAGAAAACTTGCTGGAAGCTAAAAACGAGCTTTCCCAATGGACTCTGAAAATGGAAGAGTTAGCTGCGTTAAACCAAAGTCTGATTAGTTTAATCAGAACTCTGGAACTGGAAAGAGCGTATCTCTCTGAGCTTGAGGAACTTAAGTTATCATTAAAGACCACACACACACAAAACATACACAGTGGCACTTGTTCAATCGATAAAGCAAAAACACCGAAGGCTGTTGTCAAAACGCATCAGCATTTATAATCATTGGAGACAGAAACGTTCGCGGACTATCAGGAATGATAAAACGGTTTTCCAATCGACGCTTCGACGTTAACTGCCAGTGGTCTGACCGCCTTAAATTTGAAGATGCCGTCTCTCTTTGCCTCCAAATTTCTAAAAACCTTACTTTCAACGACCATGTCATATTGTTTTGGGACTCCGAAAACGCCATTAAAGGGCATTCAATCAAGAAGGCGACTGTTCAGGCCTTACTGGAAGTTGGTTATAAAACAAACCTAATCCTTGTTGGTCCACCCTTACATACCAACAGACCAGTCTTAAATCAAATTATCCACGACCACAATCAGGTTATTTCCAACATTATTGACGACAGTGGCGCCAATGTTTTGTTTCTGCCTCTGCTATTGGTCAGTCATGATGGGATAAAATTAACTTGGCTCAACACCTATGGATAACAAAAATTCGCCCACCCTGTGTAACTAAAAAGATAACTGCGGGAGTTGGGGGCATGTACTCGCAGTGCTCTGACCTGTCAATACACATTGCTTCTAATTCCAAAAACGACACAAGCAACGTCTCAAATTTAAACCTGGATTTTGTAAGCCCATCGAAAATCGTAACCTCGTAACCACTTTTTATCAAAATGTTCGTGGTCTAAGGACTAAATCAGACGAAATTATGAGATCATCGTCCGCATGTAACTTCGAAATAATAGCTTTAACCGAAACCTGGCTGAATGACACTTTCTACAACGGTACCACGCTGAATTACTCAACTCCCAGTACACAGTTTTTCGAAGAGATAAGAACTATATTGAGTTGGGCAGTCAACATGGCGGCGGAGTACTAATTGCTACACTGGGGCACCTTCACTCCTCAAGTATCTCTACATCTCAAACGAAACTTTACGATGATGTTTGGGTTCAGCTGGATCACGACGGAAGTAAAATTATTGTTGGCTGTGTCTACTTTTCCCCCAACTCTACGGTCGATTGCTATCAGTCTTTCTGTGACACCTGTGAAACTCTTAAGAACACTTATTCTAAACACAGATTTTTCATATTTGGTGATTTTACCCTGCCATCAATTAAGTGGGTATTTGAAGACGACACAATAGTGCCTAAAGAACTACCAACAGCTTCTGCCGAGGTACTCATGGATACCATGTACTTTCTTAAACTGCAACAGATGAACATCATTCAGAATCCTCTGGGCAGAACTCTGGACCTAATTTTCGTCGACGACTTTATTGATCTCTGCATCACACCCAGTGCTGACCCTGTGGTGGCAATAGATGCTTACCGCCCGGCCATCGAAACTTGTTTCTCCGTGGGACAGATCAAGACGTTTAGTGTCAGAACTGAGGTCAAAATATTTGATTTTCATCGTGGAACCTAACCACTTTTATGAGCAGGCAAACTGGTCTTTTTTGTCCTCAATAACCGACGTTGATACAATGATCACTCTCTTCTATGAAACCCTTTTTCAGGGTATTAACCTTCCAGTTCCAAAGGAAACAATAAAGAGCGATAAATATCCTAAATGGTATGACCTTAGAGCAGGTAAAGCGCTGTCCTACGGACATAGGGAGTAGGAACGCGCCATTCTGCTTATGAAACTAAAGTGAAGCCAAATTTTTGGCAGGTGTTTGGCACCAAAATACAGGTAAAGCATTGAATTTCCTATACCGCCATTATTTTGGTGCCAAAATATCTGGAAAAAAAACGGCTTCATTTTTCAAATCCAGGTTACTAATCCTCTTTACGTTTACCTGCTCTAAGGGTACGACAAAGGACTTCGTAAATGCATTGCGCAAAAGAATTGATTATATAAGAAATACCAGAAATTAGGACTGTAAGGTGACTATGAAGCCTACACTAAAATTCGTCGTGAGACTAAAGTCCGCATTGACATTTTTTTTTTTTTTTATTTGTCAAACACATTGTGTTTATTACATTACAATCTAGTCAGTAAGACTAATTAGCAATTTTGTTTTAACCTAATTTACTATAAAGTTTACAATTCTTGAGGTTCACTCAACAGTTTTCCCCACTTTGCTTAAACTGTAAATCACAATTTTGATGTGTTTATAGCACTGTTTTGTTGTGTTTTTCAATTTCAGTTCACTAGCTCGAACGGCTTCACCCTTCTCAGTGTTCTAACTAGCTCAGTATTGTCTAGGAGCTCAATGACTTCCACATTCACATGCCGATGTAGTCTATCTTCATGGCTTTTTGCGTACTTTCTTATAGTCTCTGTTACAGTATCAATTCCTAGTTCCCGATGTAGATCACTATTTCGAACGTACCAAGGTGCATTAACAATGTTTCTTAGTACTTTATTTTGGAATCTTTGAATAACTTGTATGTTACTATCTTTAGTGCAACCCCAAAGTTGAATTCCATATGCCCATACTGGTTTCAGTATTTGCCTATAAAGTAGTAACTTGTTATGTATGGTTAAATTGGACGTCCTTCCAATTAACCAGTACATTTTTCTATACTTAAATTCAAGCTCTTGCCTTTTTTTCTTAACATGTGCTTTCCAGCGCAATTTCGCATCAAGCGTCATACCAAGATATTTAGCTTGATTTGAATATGGTATAGGGGTGTCATTAATTGTGATTTGTATGTGATTTACGTTTTTGTTTGTAAAATCAACGTGAATTGATTTGGTTTCATTCAATTTTATTCGCCATTTTTTGGTCCAATTTTGAACTTCACTGACAGCGTTCTGCAGTTTTTCTGTTGATTGTTCAATACTTTTTTCCACTGTAATTAAACCAGTATCGTCGGCGAATGTTGCTAAATGACAATTTTCTGGTTTTGGGATGTCGCATGTAAATAATAAATATAAGTAGGGACCTAGCACGCTACCCTGAGGTACACCTGCTTTTATTTTTCGTAAATTTGACTCATTGACATGTGCTACTTATGTTACCAACACTGACCACCTGATCCCTCAAAATGTCAAACATTTTTGGTCATTTATCAATAATTTAAAGAGGAACTCGAACTTGCCGACGCAGATGAAGTACAAAGATTGCACATTGGACGGCTCTGATTCCATTGCTGACGCATTCGCCACGTACTTCCAAACATCTTACTCCAGCCAAGATGACTTAGACATCCATTGAACCTGTCCAATTTGCTTCTATACCCTATCATCTCATAGTCATAACTTCCAAACACAGAAAATTACAAACAAGTTAAATGTGCTGGACGTATCCAAAAAAGCCAGTCCCGACGGAATACCAGCTATATTTCTGAAAGGTTGCTCGTCTTTCTCAGCCTTACCACTTTGCATTATTTTTCAACGATCTTTGGATTGTGGCTTTTTTCCTGAAAAGTGGAAGTTTTCCCTCCTTCCCATTTTCAAGTCTGGAGATAGGTACGATGTTGAGAACTACCGAGGAAATATTCGGAACCTATAGACTTTACCTTATACCAGAACAACACGGATTCTTCAGCAAGCGTTCAACTGCATCCAACATAGCAGTCTACCAGAACTTCTTAATAACCTCCGTTGAGGCTGGACACAAGGTCGACTTCATTTACACAGATCTAGCCAAGGCTTTTGATAGCGTGTGCCACCTCCTTCTTATAAAGAAACTATCAGAAATTGATATTTCTGGAAACTATTTAGCATGGATCAAATATCTTGGAGATCGAACCCAGATTGTTGAAGTGTGTGGCTACTCCTCAAAAAGCGTCAAGGTCACCTCGGGTGTTCCCCAAGGATCACAAATGGGACCTGTTTTTTTCCTGTTGTTTATCAACGATGTTTCCTCCTGCTTCCATTCCTTGCACTTTCTCCTGTATGCTGATGACCTGAAATTTTATAATGTTAAGAATGGAGTTTCCGACCCACTGCAACCAGATCTCAACAGATTTGCTTATTGGTGTTCTTCAAACCAACTGAAAATCAACATATTTAAATGCAAATCAAAAACATTCCACAAGAATACATCTCCTCACATGTCAACATATAAGATTGGTGGTCAACAAATTGATAATGTGGAATTCATCAACGGACTTGGAGTAACGTTCGATCAAAAACTCATATTCAAAACGCACATCGATAATATTGTTGTCAAAAGCTGCAGATTGCTTGGCTTCATTAAGCGAAATACCAAACACATCAACGATACAAAGGCACTTACATGTCTTTTCAACGCCCTTATACGCAGCACTCTTGAATACTGCTCCGTCATCTGGTCCCCACATTATACCATCCATATTAATAGACTAGAGAACGTCCAAAACAGGTTTCTAAAATACCTACTATATAAACACCGCTTTCCTTCATCTGGAATACCTTATGAAACCAGACTGTTGCTGTGTAGGATGATGAGCCCTGAGCAGAGACGGAAACACGCCCTACTCATCATTCTTTACAAAATCCTGAATAATTGGATAGATTGCAGCACATTATTGGAATCAATATTATTTTTGGTCCCCATTAGACGAACCAGACAACATCAACTTTTTTATGAGCACCCGCACAGAACGAATTATGGATACACAGCTTTTGTGGACAGAACGATTTGCAATTACAATAGAAATTATAGGGAGTGTGATCTTTTGAATTGTTCCTTATTGTCGATTAAACGTTGTGTCTAAACTTTAGATTTCAATTTATATTTGCTTAATATGTGTACTTCTAGTCGAACCGTTGTTCTCTGTGATTTTGTCCTATATCTTTTTTTTTTTAACCATATTTTCATGTAGGTACCATTTAGAAAACTTATTGTTATTCTGTAGTGTACTGATTGAGTAAATAAATAAATAAATAAATAAAAGTACCTAATCCAGGTCCTCTTCACAGCTAGCTATTACTACCCTGATCGTCTGCAAAGAATAGTGTGGACAAGTAATGTTCTCCCACTTTTATTCCCATACCAAAGAACTTATTTCTTCAGTTTTTCAAGGCTTCCTGAATGTATATCTTAAATAGTGTGGATGATAAACAGCAACCTTGAACCTTGCTTTAGTCCTTTCGTAATTTTTAAACTTTCTGATGCTTGATTTCCTACTTTTACTATACCCTGCGGGTTTTTATGAATATTATTAATGGCTCTTGTTTATTCTTTATTGGGGTTAGTCTTTGTCAAAAGGTGTATGGACAAATTTCGAGCATACCTTTTTTCTATGATTAGTTGTAATGTGAAATTAGCATCCATGCATGAAGTCCAGCACGAAAGCCATTTTACTCTTCTATGTCGGAAAATTCCATTTCAATGCTTCTTTTCAAAATACTGTCGTACAACCTTCCCAAAGAGCTAGTAACACTTATTCATCTATAGTTTCTACAACTTTGTCGATCACCTTTTTTTGTGAATGGAACCTATGTGAGAGATATTCCAGTCTGCAGGTATAGTGTGCCCTTTTAGTAACAGATCGTTGTATATATCTGCTAGAATTTTCATCACGATCTGTGGCGCACATTTGCCTATGTCAATAGGAATGTTTTTTGGCCCCGGTGCCTTTCCATTTCCATTATGAAATATAGGTACCTATCTATGATCTATACTCTATTGGGAATTATTCTTTCTCGTTCTAAAAAAACCTCAGTGGTTCTGGAAGAGTTTCAATCTATTTTGAACACGTTCTAAAAAATTTCTCGTCTGTTCCAGATCAGCAGGTGACACAGGATATGTCAGTGCCGAAAGCTCAATAGATAGTGACGACGAAAAAGAACTCAACCACGTTTTAGATCCACAAAATACCGGTAAGTCACACTTTACCTCAATTTTTCGAATATAGGTACCAAACATGATTCACAGACATATTAATCTACTATTTTCAATTTTTACCAGCATTATATGAACAATTGAACCTAAATGACACCTGGAAACAATTAATTTCTCAATGAGATTTCAATGAATTGAAAATCATATATTGTTATAATATCCAGTGACCATCTTTTGTCTTCTCATACGATTTTATTTTTACATTCCACATAATGGAGGGAGTACCTACACACCTCTACTTTGTCGGCAGGATTAGTATTTAATCCAGAACACAAAATTAAAAAAGAAAATCCCTTAATTCCACCATCCTCTGGTTCATGATGTTAATTAAGAATATAATTATTTTTCCCTTTTGGTGCGTGTTAAGAGATTCCATTCCCTTTTCGGTCATAAAACTTTATTCGGAGCCCCGAAAAAACCTCAACGTAACCTCTTTCCAAAATAATAAATAATAGCCGTTTATTTTGTTCCAGGGTGTTCCATAAACGGGCCGAGAAAATGTCTGGAATGGGCCTGCAAAGCCTGTAAAAAGAAATCGGTCGCCATTGATCGACGAAAAGCCGCTACTTTGAGGGAAAGAAGACGATTACGAAAAGTAAGCGAATTTGTCCGACACCGTTTTCTTGTTGGGTTTTTGTGTTTTATTGATTTTTTCTTGTTTGTTTGATAGAGATAATTGCTACTAATGAAACTTAGATGATTCAGCCCGCAAAAAAGATTGAGTATAAAAGAATCTGAGATTGCTCCTGTTTTTTTTTTTTTCATTTGATAGTGTTTAGATTTTATTAGGTATAACTTATATAAAGCTCTTTTTAGGGTAGTACCTACTTTAACTTTACATTTTCATTGAAAAACATTTTCCAATCCTTTAATTTTGTCATAGTATCATAGCCAAAGACACAAGATATAATCAAAAATCTCAACTACTATATTCGTATGCCCAAATTGCAAACTTTAACTATTTATTTTTTTATCCAGAATGTCATCCATACAAATGTAACAATGTAAATTCAAGAGTTTATTCTTTTTTCTAAATAAAAGGGCAAAGCTGTTGGAATAAAGAAAAGAATTCAAGAAAATCGAGCAGCTACTGCAAGTTCTAAATGAAAATACTAAAACAATGGGCAATTTGGATGTTTCGCTAAGAAATTATTTATTCACATTTTTCCGGGATTTTCTATCAATAATAATTAATTTTACTATTTATATTCTCTGGTATTGTGGAGTCTACTCCATGAACTCACTTTTTAAGGACTGGTTTATTCATATCCCAATAAACTTACTGGTAACTGTTTACAGAATAAATTTACCAATCTTGTTAAATGTTTACGAGTGGGTTATGTCACTAATGGGCGCTGACTAGACAATAAACTTGCTTACTGTATTTTTCACCTTTATCTAAGTGATTTCTCGACAATGTTAAGTAAGTCAGTTGAATTTTATTAAAACGATTAAATTTTTAGAGTTAGGTCTTGAATTTGTAATTTTTAATTCGGAAATAATTTTTTTAAAAAAAACGTTATCTCGGTCTACGACGTGTTAACTGGCGCAGTCTGTAGGATAATTTTTGGGACCGATATCGAATCGCCGATAAATCGGGCTAACCAAAAATTTATGTGTATCTACGTGTGTTCGCTGATGTGTTGTGTGTCAGAGTAGACTTCCGGAAATCGAAAACTCCAGTTCGTTGGAAACCTGACCAACAAAGCGATCGGAGGTTGGACAAAAATTGCCAACTCTCGCAAGTATTAAGTTTTTGGGAAGACAAAATCGCCGACTAGTAATTTTAGCCTTATGCTGATCATCATTTTCATGTAAGTAAAGTGCAAATCTAATGTCCGATGATAATATTATTGACGATATAATCGAAAGGTTAAGTCAACTTCAGTTACCTCCTTCAACTGACTGTGCTTCTAGCGAAGAAGTAATTAGATTAATTAACCAGTCTATTTCTGCACTTAATCTTAATTTACCTGAAAGTAATCTTTGTACAATGGCCAATTTCGAAGCAGAGTATCTGAACTGCGTGCCGGAATTTGACGGCAATCCCAATGATTTAAATAGGTACTTAGCAGCTTGCCTAAGCATTATCGATGCTTTCTACAAACCAAATGAACCTAACAATTTTCAAAACATTTACTTAATAAATTCTATTATTGGAAAATTATCGGAAAAAGCTAAATTAGAACTAGGTACTGTTCAAACGTGGGAAGAATTGAAAATTATACTGAGTAGACATTTCGCAGATCAATGATGAAGCCTGTCTGAACAGAGATCTAGTCATGCTCAGAAAACAGAGTCATGAAAAACCTAGCGAATTTTATGATAGAATCATGCATATATTAAATCTTATGTAATTATGTTCATATAAATATTCATGAAAATAACGATGCCGCAAAAGCCTTGAAAAGAAATCTTTATCATGAATTATCACTCAAAACATTTTTATCAGGTCTAAAAGAGCCTTCGGGAACTACCATACGTTGTATGCGTCCAAAAGATCTTCCTGAAGCCTTACAGCTAGTTAGTTTTGAATACAATACGCAACATTTCTAAAATAGTTCAAAAATTCAAACCAAAAACCTCAACAGTCTTTTAATAAACCCAAATAGGTACGCAAATATATTTTATCCATATAACCCAATGAATAGATACGCAATTTTCATTAAACCAATTCATGAGACCGTCATTTCCATCACAGCCTGTATTTGTTAGGCTAGATTATAATACCTAAGACGCCTCAAAGATTTCCCACAAACTCTCAAGTTGTCGGTTCCAAATATAGACCTACCACTAAAGTCTTCAAACCGAACCCAAATCGACAACTATCAAGACCCATACACCAATGTCAACAACCTCGCATAATACGTTCAGACCAATAAATAACAATTTCCAAAATTCAGCACCCAGAAACCCTTTTCAGACACAAAATAATCAACCAAAAAACTTTGTAGTTGAAGAGTTATACAAAACGAACGCAGCTAGCAGCGATAATGATCAAGATCAATCACACAATACCGATAATATCGCCTATGCTGAACCTAACTACTAATACGTAGAACAAGGTCAAGATTTTTATTATTACGACCCTACCCAATATTACGAATATGTTGATGCCTCATCACTATCAACTGTTACACAAGAAAATCCTATTGTACCAACTGAGGAAAATTTTGCCGAACCAGCCGATACCAACACCAATACTATAATTTCATATAGGTACCTAATAAATAATAACCGACATTTTCCTTTGAAGTAGGTACCATTTTTAAAAAAGTATGTTGATGATATTGTTTGTGCAATTCCTTTTGATTAACACCAAGAAATTTTGAATACATTTAACAACTACAATACTTCCATCCAATTAACTATTGAAATTGAAAATAACTATAGAGTATTCCGTTTTTAGATACAAAATAGCTATTTATACAATAAGTTACGAAATGAGCGTGTTTTAGGCACGCGACGTCAAAATTGTCCAACGAGGCAAAGCCGAGTTGGACAACACGTCGAGTGACTGAAAGACATCGTTTCGTAACGTATTGTATACAAGATTTTTTCTACTGGCATTTTATAATAAAAAAACACAATTTTATTTCATGTGAATAAGTCGATTACACCCAAAATCTTTGTTACCTGCTTTTACTTGACACCTGACACTTTTCATGCGATTTTCTTTTCAAAATTCGACATCAATAATTAAAATCCTAGAAAGTAGGTAATAACACAAAGTTCTGTTTTGAGTAACCCAAACGTTCAATTCAGTAATTCCATTTTCAATATTCATAATAAATAGAAAACAAAATTCAAATATGTGTTTAGTGTGTTTTTTATTTCTGAATAATGAATGACACTTTTAGGCACTAGTGCTTAAAAATTACTTTTACGCACTCATAAGTCACTTTTACGCATTCAAAAGTCACTTTTACGCACTGAGTGCCTAAAAGTAACTTTCACGCACTCAGTGCCTAAAAGAATGTCGTTTCAAAACTGAAATGACAATCGAAAAGTTGCTATTATGAAACGTCAGTAGAAAAAATACCTTATAATGATAATACTGAATAGGGCAATCCAATTAAAATGGCGGCCGATGCCAGGTGACAAGCATGAAGTTGGCGCCATAAATTTCAGATTCAGATTCTTTATTCATGCTAATGTTTAAAATACAAAACTTACACAAGTCAATAATAAATAAATGTCCACACAATATGGAATTATAGATAAGTCACAAGATAAAATGATATTTACAAAACAATTATAAAATAAAATTAAATTAAATATCAAAACAATTACAACAGATTTAAAACAAGTCTAAAATACCTAAAACTGAAAAGGCTGACAAGACTGGTCACTCTTCTCAAATTCATCCAATGAATAAAAAGCATTGGTAATCAGGATAGTTTTTATTTCTTCTTTAAATTGTTTTAGGGAAAGATCTCTAAAGGCCTTGGGAAATTTATTAAAATATTTTACCGCCAGGAAATTTTGACCATTTTGGCATTTTTTCAGTCTGAAGTAGGGAGTAGTTAAGTTATCTCTGTAGCGTGTATCGTAATTCTGATAGTCACTGTTGGCGTTAAATTTATTGATGTTAGTTTTGGCATAAATCACATTCTCTAGAATAAAAACACATGGCATTGTCAAGATCTCAAGTCTGACAAAAGCATTCCGACAGTCCTCCCTGTATGATAGCCCAGTTATTACACTTATAGCTCTGCGTTGCAGAGTAAAGATTCTATGAGCGTTGGCCGCCCGCCCCCATACAATTATACCATAACAGAGAAGTGAATGGCAAAGAGCAAAGTATGCAGTTCTGAGTATTTTATTGTAGACAGCATTTGACAGACTCCTGAGGACAAATACACTTTTGCTGATCTTAGCTGCAAGACATGACAATCCCACTTTAATTTGGAGTCCAGTATTACTCCCAGAAATCGTACCTCATCCTCCGTCTCCAGATCCATTTGACAATCTCTGAGAGGAAATACCATCCTTTTAGTTTTTAATTTGTTCAAAATCAGATTGTTCGCAAGAAACCACTCGCTCACAGCCGACTGCATCTCGCACGTTCTCCCACCAATCTCTTCGCAGGTCCTGAGTCGCATACTGCAGGTAGTGCTATCAGCAAACAAAACGAAGCTAACAGTGTCGTCGCCGCACTCAGGTAAGTTGTTGATATACTAAAAACAATAGAAGTCCTAAGACTGATCCTTGCGGGATGCCCACTGCCAGCTCCGTGCTCTCCGACAACACACCATCCACTGGCACACGTTGAGACCTATTTGCAAGGTAAGACTGCATTATTTTTAAGCTACTGTCATCAAAGTTATAGGCTTGAAGCTTGCTTAGAAGGAGAACGTGAGAGACACAATCAAACGCCTTGCTCAGGTCGCAGAAGATGGTGCTGGTATACTCCAAACTCTCAAACGACTCCAGTACTCCCGCAGCAAATTCTGTTATGCTAGAGATTGTGCTGTGCTGCCCCTTAAACCATGCTGAACATCAGTGAAAAGATTATTGCTTTCAAAGTAGTGGAGTATTTGAGCAGAAATGCACTTTTCGAAAACCTTTGACAGAACAAGGAGCAAAGAAATA